TAAAAGCATCTCGATCGGACGTCGCGAGTACGGAGATTTTGATCCCGAAACGGATCTAGCGCGAGTTTGTCGTGCATTTATAAGACGTGTTCTTGAAACCCTATACGCGATTTCGATTATCTTTTATGCGTTATAGCGCTGTGTCGGTCGTGGCAGGGCCGAGTCGTTTCCGCGGCGCATTTAGTGACGCAAACCGAATTGCATTTAAAGCGCATCCCCGACCGCTGGGATTCCCGGCGAAAGGCGAGATCGCGTGATCCGCGAAGCGCGAGCGATCGTGTGCGCGGAAATTCGAGTGTGAGTGCGTGTAAGCGTGAATGTGAGCGTTTGAATTTTTAAAATAAATATTATAAACATTTCACTGAATAAAGGCTAGTTCTTTTGCGGACCTCACAAAAGTCGCGTGCGCTCACATTCCGAACTCATAAAACGAGAATATCGTCAACTGCCGCCAACCAGAAGGAAGGACGAGGATCCGGTGCATCTGGACGGCTGATCCGAGGAAACTACCTTCCCTGTTGAGAGTTAAACAGGGTGGCGACCGCAGTAAGTCTAACATTTACCTAAGACGAGAAGGGTAAGGCTCGTTGTCGTTGTACAAACGTACTTAGGTCAGTCTCGTACTAAATAGAATATCTAAAGTAAAATTGGCACTTAGAGTCGGCATATCAAGAACCGTGCGGGCGTACGATAAGTGCGCTGACGAAAGGGGTCTTCGGGGAAACAGGTCCGATGGTCATATCGAGAGGGATTATCATATTGTCGATTTCATAGAAACGGGCACTGATTCCGGTTACAAACTAATCAGACTTCTGTCACCACTAAAATCCAAGGAGTTTGGACCCCCTGACTAAAATTACATTAAAGTTGGCGTAGTAGTGGGGATTTTTGATAATAAAGATCAAATAAAATTTACATGTTTACAAACAGCGTAATCATTTAAACATTGATTAAGAAGCAGAGATACGGGCAAAAATTTAAAATAATTCCAATGCACGTGGATGAAACATGTTCATTCTTGTTTTACCTCTCCCTTTCCGCCGAAAAAAGAAAGCGGCCATGAAAACGCAGTTTCGGACTTACTAAGTTCCAAATTTCTAAATCGGTCTCTAGGGGGAGGTTTAGCAAAAGCTACCGGCGTATTTACTTAGGAACCTAGGGTCGACCCCCAGGTAAGTAAGTGACGGTCACGTCTGAAGAAAGAGGACAATGCGCGGCACTTTATTGACGGTTTTTGAAAAAGTTTTGAGTAATTACTTGCTCGCTGAAAAGAAAATAAAAATTTTAGTTTGGAAGACAAACGGTTCTACTTATTAAGCACAAATTTTTAAAATGAATTTAGCTTCAAAGAAAATGAATTATATTTATTTTAACCGTCGACCCTCTCAGGTAAGTAAGTGACGGTCACGTCTGAAGAAAGAGGACAATGCACGGCACTTTATTGACGGTTTTTGAAAAAAAGTTTTGAGTAATTACTTGCTCGCTGAAAAGAAGATAAAAATTTTGTCTGGAAGACAAACGGCTCTACTTACTAAGCCCAGATTTCTAAAATAAGTTTAGCTTTAAAGAAAATGAATTATATTTATTTTAACCGACGCCAGTCAAATAAGTAATTGTCCAGAGGAAGACGACAATACGCTTTCACTACAGATATTCGAAAAAGATTTCGAGTATCTTAATGAATTGTACTTACAAAAATAACTCTTCGAGCTTGAAAGAAAAGGGTTTATAGCGTTAGAATAAGTCTACTTGAGTGAGAGATGAGGTCGTAAAAACAGCAAAGGAGATGACCAAGTCAAATGGTGTTGAAAAATTTGTCTCCTCCCTCACTTATGAATTTTTGCAGAGTATAAATAGCCCATAGAACGAGAACTAGAGTTAGTTCTTCGGTTGTACTTCCTTGCATCGACTTGCAGCTTTTCTGTAAGTCGTTATTAGCAATACGAGGGTGTATATGCGAGTGTTGTACGTGAACGTGTGTGAATAAGTGAAAAAATGGAGCTTCGTGAACGTCTTCGAAAATTTTTCATCGTGGCCTACAACTTGCGAAGGGAGAATGCAAACAATTATTTAGCGCATTTATCGGAAAACGATGAGGAAAATACAACGTTTTCGCTCAGTTTGCCAATGCTCAGTTTGCCAGCATTGCTCCAATACCCTATTGAGCGTAATGCATCAATTAGGGTATTGTACTAACGACGAGCGATTGCACAGCATATTGAAATTTGAGTTAATTGTGCGTTACTCTGAGGGATATGAATCAGACGCTGGGGGCCACACGGCAAGATTTAGGCGAAGCTGGGGTAAGCATTTTCATTAATTTTTTATTTAAGTGGAAAACATAAGAACTGCTTTTAAAATATGGTATTTATTTTAGAACCGCGGCCTGTACACAAGGTCTAACCGAATCGACATCCTGTAGCGGTCGTAAGACGTCCGGGTCGAGTCCGCAAACCAGGAAGAATTGCAGTACCGGCTTTAATATTGCCACAACCTCCGCGACCACAGCGAGCACCGCGTGAAATCGATCCGGAAGACGTCGTGCCTGCCCGTAAGTTGAAATGCGATTAAAATTAAAATAACGATTATATAGAAATTTCAGGAATTAAAATTATTAAACTTTTGTAGGGAGACCACGACTTGAGAACAAAGACGCGGGTGGATTTCTTTAAAACAACGCGCCACTTCCCCGCGAGAATAATAGAGTAATTCCCGTCGTCGATTTGTCGTCGTCCGGTAAGTTGGCATTTTAAAAATTGTAGTAAAAACCCAATATTACAACATTTAATATTAGTGCAATATGATAAATAATCTGATAAATTCTGTTTTATAAATGATGCAAAAGCGAGTAATCCAGTCGTCCATGTGGTTCAAGCAATGGTTCACAGGTCAGCCGACGACAAGGACGATGACGACAACGACGGTGTTAGATATCACCGTATATGGATCCAGCCTTGTACTTGACTGATAAGTTTTTTAAAAAAAAAGCTAGAGAATCATTATAGTTTAAATAAAATTTAATAAATAACAAAACGATATTAATTTTTAGCACGAGAAGACGAGATGCAAAATCACGAGTTGTGGCTGCAACCAGGACACGGTCATGATTTCGAGGAAA